AGGGGGAACGGAAGACAGAGGGTTAGAGATATGTGACAAGTGGTACCTTTCAGCTGCATGAGGAACCGTGCGTGGGGGGGAAGAGAGGAGGAGGAGAGGTGAGCGACTCCTACCTTTGAGCTGTATGAGGAACTGTGGGAGCAGGTGTTCGATTGTGTTGTCCTTGCCCAGGATGGGGGAGAGGCCCATGATAACCGAGGCCAGCGCTGACTTGACGTGCTGGTTGGCGTCTGTCACCAGCTCCTTCACGCAGGGCAGGATGCTGGTCATGATGATCTGTTCCCGCACCTCCGGGGACAAGGCCAGGCAGAAATCTGTCACACGAGGAAGAGAAGATCATTTTTTTCAGCTTTAGTAAATGTTTTACGGCACTTGCAACACAATAAGGTCATATAAGAGCCGAAGTCTAGAGGCGTTTCAAGAGAGTAACAAACACAAAAAAACTAAGGAGCAGGGGTAAGGACGATAGATGTTTAATAGGAAAGAAGAAAAAAAACCCACACCAGACCACCTGCCAACCACCCACATGAAGACAAGTAAAAACAAAAAATTAAACCTACATTAACAACAAGCAAACACTCTTCCTGATTTTCTACAAATATTTTAGTTAAAGAGTTTCATGGTACCTCCAACACAATTAGATCATACAAATGCCGAACATTAGAAATGTTACAAGAGAGTAACAAACACAAAAAAGGAGGAGTGACGATATATGATTGATAGGACAGAAGGAAAGAACAAGCAAACCACATTAGAGCACCCGCCAACCACCCACTCTGCACTTCAGGGGACAGGGCCAGACAAAAATCTGAAGGGGACATTTCAGACAATGGACATTTTGAATAAATAAAAGCAGGGTGTTGGATATTTTGAAGTAAAGAGAAAAGCATTTCACAGAGCAATTTCAGTTTGTTTAGTTATTTCCCTCCCAGCTTTTAATTTTTTTTTAATAAGTTACTGAAGTCGTGGTTTTGATTGGCCATTCCTTTTTCTCAAAACTTAAAAAAAGTGACTTGGGCATTTGTATAAAATGACGCAGATAATGTATCAAAGTACGAGCACACCACTGACACACGTCATGACACCCACACACACACACACACCCGCTCACTTACCTTTGACCTTGTGAGCAGAAGCAGCTCGCACCTCGGCCTCGCAGTCCTTGAGAAGGTTCTGGAAGGCGGGCACCAGGTCGTGCTTGGTGATCTCTGGGCCGACGGCTGTCTGGAGCTGTGAGGCAAAACAAAATACAGGCAGGACAGTTTTAGTTTTAGTTTTAGTAAGTATTACAGTACTTGCAACACAATTAGGTCATGTAAGCCGATTAGAGCTGTTACAAAGAAAGAAGAAGGAAAGATAGTTTAGTTTTACTGTTAAAGATAGTTTAGTTTTACTGTTTTACGACATTTGCAACACAATAAGGTGATACACGTGACAAAGATTAGAGGTGATACAAGTGACAAAGATTAGAAGTGATACAAGAGAGAAACAAAATAGGTCATGAACTCGTTTTGGGTTTCCCTATCTCTCAGTATATTATGGAAGGCTATTTCTCCTTTGCACCTCACCAACTTTGTCATCCAAGTCTTCAACAACGCAAATTTCTCTAAAACTCCACTTCTATTTCATCTATTCATGTAAAATAAACACAGAATGAACATAGATGAATGATCTGAGCAATAAAATACAGTCTGATTAAATACAACAAGGATTGACTAGGGATTGGTTGTTTTGTTTCGTTTGTCACAAGTGTAAACTAAACAAGCAGGCGACCCATTGAACCAGCCTCACCTCAGTGAACTTGTCGGCCACCATGTAGCGAACCCTCCACGACTTGTCCTCCGCCGCCTGTCGTAGCGTGGGCATCACCAGCTGCTCTGTGTCCTCCGAGGGGAGGAGTGACGCGATGCTCACACTGGCCTCCACCGCTAGCAGACGCACAGAGTCCTGCAAGACACGCATAAAGAAAACTTTACAAAGCCGTTCATCATCAAAGCCACACTGAAAGCTCAAGAGACCAGAAAACCATAGCAATACAAAGGGATCTGTTAATTTTTTTTTAAAACACAGAAATTTATTTTAAACCAAAAAAAAAGATTGAAAAAAAAAAAATTTAAAAACCCATGCACACACACTCCCCCCTCCCCAAAAATCATATAATTTCTTTTTAAACACACCAAAAAAAAACCCAATAACAAACACATACCAAATTGTAAAATAACACACAACATTGAAAAAAGAAACCCCAATTTTTTTTAATGAAAACACAACAACATGCGAACGCTTATAAAACAAAGCATCAGAAAGGGTGTGTCTGTGCTAGTCCCCCGAGCGTGCGTCCGTCTGTACAGAGCTCCAGCAGCGCCACCCCCCACCCCCTTTACCTGCTCATCCTGGGCCAACTGGTGAAACAGCTGTATGAGGTCCGACTTGAGGAACTCGGGCTCCACCACCTTGGCAAACTCCCCCAGCTTGCCCGCCACTGCCCGCCGCACCATGGGTGTGTCGTCCGCGCACAGGTTACGGTAAATTCTGAGAGAAAAACAAAGCATAAATTAAGAGAGGGGCAGGAGTGGGGTCGCCTCGTGTCAGAGGTCAAATAAGCAAAAAAGACGGCCATATCAAAATTTGGTAACTTCCAAAGGAGTTTTAGAAACTGCAATTTTTCATTTTCTGTGCCTTTGATCAGAGTTTAAAATCCACACCGAAACTGAAATGTGTTATTAATCAAATGGACTCAAAAACATTTTCTAACATTTGCCAATAAGGCAGGAAAGTTTCACTTTCTTCAATTTCATTATTTTGACAAGCGCGCGCCCGAGTGCACCACAATGCCACACAATTGTTTTTGAACATTTGCCAGGCACACATAGTTGTGACACTACTGACTAGACCAGGACACACTTTAGATACTTCTTTCCTTCCCGGAATGTTTTGTGCTCCTGTAAGACAAGACCAATCATCGTCCTCTTGAGAGACAAAGACACTCACTGTTCCGCCAATAAAATACCTGTTCTGCATATCATAACCAAGAGACTATCCGTGTCTCCTTAGCCTGAAGAGCCCAAGAGATGCACAGTCACACCACTCCCCCCCCCCCCCAAATCAATTGGGGGGGGGGGATTTAAGTGAGATTTAAAGCACTTGCAACACAGATATGACATTTAAGTGCTGAACATTAGAAGCATTGCTGGAGAGAAATACAAAGAAAAGAAGACATAAACACAAAGAAAAGGAGACATAAGGACCATAGATGTTTGATACGGAAAAATGAGCAAACAACACCAGGTCGCCCGCCAATAACAAAACCATTACCTCCCCCGCTATTTGGAAGTCTGGTGCATGCCTCCTCTATTTAGTAGCATTTTTTTTTCTCAATCTCAAACAAAAACAAACTGTTTTTAAAACGGTTCTACTTCTGAAAACCGATCAACTTACTGTCGGAGCTCTGCCTTGACATTTGTGGAAGCCCTCTTGTAGCAAACCGAGAACAACCCACATGCCGAGGTGCGCGACGTGAACCAATCACCTGCAAGGGACACAAACAACAATCAACAGTGAAAGAATGAGAGCCAGAATAAAAATTATTGCTCTTGTTCCTTGACATGCCTAGATGCTTTTGTTACAGCAAAAAGACACACATTGGAAATAAGTTATTTTCGTCAGAGAAATATGCCAAACCATCCGGTACTATCCATGGAAAGCAACAAAACAGAATAAATGGATTTTTTAGAAACAGTAAAATAATTAAATAAAATCATAATTAAGAAAACCCAATAATAATGTAGGGAACAAAATTATTATCTGAGAAAAAAATGCAGGGAGGAAGGGGGGGGGGGGGTTGAAAGTTTGTGCATTGATCGTCTTGGACAGTTGTTTTTTTTAGCAGGTTTGACTATATATATCATCAGCCAGACGTTCAAATGTACTCAATCCATAATTCAATAACCTTTTTTTATTGCTATTTCTTAATCTGTGGTATCGACTGATTGTTCTCGAGCAGTATTTTGAAGAAATTCAAAATCTAAATGTTGAAAAAAGCAAGAAAAAGACATAAAATAGGTACAATTGTATATGAAATGGAACACTTCTTTCTCACGTCATGAAAAACTTTGTTTTCTGAGCCTTAGTATGTTTCTGCCCTAAGCTGACAAAACACCTTTTTTTTTTCATTTTCGGCGCCATATTTTTTTCCGATAAATCAAAAGCCTGATCAGTTACCATACTTGTGTGAAATAATCAACATGAAACTGAGTCTATTTTTGAATAAATCAGAATTCGAATTTCCGAAGAAAGATTATTAAATTTCAAATGGTTACGCTTCCAAAAAAACATCTTTATCTCAAAACTGTTGTGAAGCAAAATAGGCATTTTGTTAGTTTACCGCAGATTTGAACTACTCAGTATACAAGTCCATCATTTGTCACTTTTCAAAATGGCATATGGCAGTGTCTTAACACCACGTAGTCATCATAAACAGCTGGCCAGCGACACGAGAGGGTGTGAGCAGCTCACCTCCAGCCAGCCGCTTGACCATTGGCACAAAGAAGTTCTCCAGGTCGGCCTGGCTGTGCTGGTCAGCGATGATCCGGAGGGAGTCCACGGCCTTGTCTCTCACGACGGTCTCCTCCACTGTAGCCAGGCTCTCTAGGGGCGGCTGAGGGGAGAGACAGGAAAAGAAACGAAATTAAATTAAATGAAATGGTATGGGTTTAACGCCCCTATCAACACTATTAGGTTATTTAAGGGGCGGGACCTTCTAGTTTAACGTCCGTCTCCGATAGGACCGAGCCAAGTGGGAAGTTCGTGTAAAGTGCCTTTCCCAAGGACACAAGGTCGGATCGAGCTGAGGCTCGAACCCCCGACCCGCAATCTCACGATTACGAGTCCGGTAGCCTAACCATTAGGCCATCGACACCACACAGGAAAAGAGAAGACTACATAAGATAAAAAGATACTAGCTTTATTCTTCTTCCAACAGAAAGAGTAATCAGTGGCCAAGGTGGACTTTTAGTGGATGCGTTCTTCCTCAGGTTACGAGTGTATATTATGTATTTGAAAGAATTATATGATGAATGGGCCAGTATGCATGAAACAATTTGATTCTTATTTAATTGTGAAGTGCCTTGAGCCACCTGAGAGTAGGCACTATAGAAAAGATCATTATTATCATTATTAATATGTTAAGATAGATAATAGTGACAGGGAAAAAGGGGAAAGATAAGACTTTATGTAGGTATACATAATAATGTGCATGTTATGTAGCTGTCATAAATTACTTTCAAAATGATTATTTGTTTGTTTGAGTAAAAAGATGCACAGCGATGCAATAATGGTCATTTAGTGCGGGGAAAAAGCAAGACAGATCTATATAGACAGAAACAACAGCTGGAAAGTACAGAAGTAGAACCTACCAGTGGCGCCCTCCAACCCTCCATCAAACATTTTACCATGCCACCATACACAATGCTATACAACATTTAGGGTCGTGGGCTGCCTCGAGCAGGCCTGTGCCTATCAGCCACCTCGGGCTGGATAGGATACACAGTATCCGAGCAGATTGATAGGAAAATGGTGAAATGGCATAAGTGAGAGTTTGAGCAGAGAGAAGAGTGCACGGAGGAGACAAACAACCGAGAGAACGTAAAGAAGTAGGACCTGCCAGAGGCATCCTCCTACCAACCACATGGTATCGTTTGACCCTCTCCCCATCAACATTATTAGGTTAGTAAAGCGACAAAGTCACAAAAACAGTTCCCTGGACCGCGACTGAAAACATACCATTTGAATTTAGTTTTAGTGAGGAAAGTTTTACAACACTTGCAACACAGGTCATATAAGTGCTGAAATTGGAGGTGCTACAAGGGAGCAACATACCCAAAAAAGAAGGAAAGAAGAGGATGCTAGATGTGTGATAGGGAAGAAAGAGCAGACCACACCAGAGTACCCGCCAACCACCCAGCAACTTCTTTAAAATAAAATAAAATTACAAATGTGTATAGCATAACATTTCCATGTCCTTCATATATGGCTGCTTTTAAGGACAAGTGGGCTAACCCAGATTTGGGGGTTTCCAGAAATCTTGACCTACACCTATAGGAGCAGTTTGGTTTCATTGGTGTGTATTTCTGTTTGGTTATAGAGAACTCTCATTGTCTCATAAAGGAACTGAATAAGGAACAAAAAAATTTACCTTCGATTTTCCCAAAACAGCATTTTTCGGGATAGCCCCCTTAGTGCTAAAAAGCGACCATATAACCATTACTTCCAACAAAGCGTCACGGTCACCAAAACAGTTCTCTGCACTGAGATTGAAACGCACCTTGATATATATTCTTCTCTGAATATCGAGACAGCAGTGCATGATAGTCCCAGCACTGAGCACAACTTGAAAACTTGGGTTCACAAAACGAATGCAAAGAGATGCAAACAATGCTCCAACAAACCACCTGGTATCCACACAAAGATTTGTAGTGAGAGGAGGAGCAGAGAGAGTCTGACACACTTCCCACAACTTGTTTGAAAAGAGTTTAATGTTGTTCTGAACTACATAAGGTCATATGAACGCACAGGACTCAGGTTGGTTGTTTCCACATTGTTTCGTAGCACAGCTTGGGTTCACCTTTTAAAGTGGGAATAGCTGAAGTATTTATAAAAATAGAAATTCCCAAAACTTTAGTCCGAGATAGAAAACACTTCCTTCAGCTACAAGAACACTTCCACATTTTTCCCATTTCTTCTCTTTGTCTTCCTTCACACTCAGAGACAAACTTCACTCAAATTCGGCTGTCTTCTTCAGCATATCCACAAGCCAAACGAAAAAATAACCGCAGACAGGACATAAAGCTATTTTTGATAGTCTTATCATTTTTGTTTTAGTAAGAGTTTTACAGGACTCACAAACATATGAAGATTATGACTTTGAAGAAAAACACAAACAGTCAAGAGGGGGGGGGGGAACTGTTCTCAGACAAATGAACAGCGAGGCAAAAACGTCGCTCAGTAGAACTTCTTCCTATCCCGGCGCAGCGTTTGCAGCGCCAGGTTGCCCAGAGAGGTGAGCACCTGGCGCACGAGCCCCACCACCAGGCGCGGCACCACCACAAACCCCAGGAACATACAGTTCCAGTCCACCAGGCCCACGTGCTCCTCCAGCTCCTCATCAGTGTCAAGGTCACGGCCATCACCATCATCTTTGCTGCCGCCATCAGCAGCATTCTCCAGCGACGTGGCTGCTCGACGACGCGAGTCTGCCGATATCAACAATTCTGCACGTTCCTCCATGCTACTGGCGCACTCACAACCACACGCGTGGAAAATTTCACGAAAGTGTTCACACACAAAATACAACCCTTTTCTTCTGCCTTTACCGACACAACCGCAACGGTCAACAACAAACCAAGTTCACACCCCAGTAATCAGTTTATAAACTTTCAAGAAAAAAGGAACCTTCTGAAAACCACCTCCACTTGGGAGTTCTCAGCAAAGTCCAATTAAGTCCAAATGAAGATTTTCACTCAGGTTTAACTGAGGCAGACTTTTAAAAAAAAGATTCTTTTTAAAAAAAAAAGAAATAATACAATTAAACACTCTTGAAAACCATGAGCCACACAAACTGAATCCAGAGAGGTTATATTTGAATGAACCTATCTCTCCTGTAGCCACTCCTCACTCCTCAGTACACAAAACCCCCCTAAGTGTAACCACAAAACACTCGCAGAGAACTGACTCACTCGTCCTTACTACAGGAGGCTGGTGTCTGTACAGTAACCTAAGTACGGTGGAGGGTGGAGGATGAGGGCGAGGGGGAGGGGGGGGGGGGGGAGAGGAGGAACGACACCCCTTGTTTTCACCACCACCCTTTCTCTTCTCCCCCCATCCCCACCCTTCTCCAGATATGTAACCAACTAGCAACTTTCATTACAAGAACAAGAAAGAAAATCATAAAATGGCATGATGAACAACTTCACTACCACAAAGAAAAAAGGGCCGTGCACATAAACAAAATCATCGTCTCGTAGGGTCCCCAGTCTCCCAACGTGTGGGCAGCTCCGATGTCTAAGCTGCTTGCACAAACTCCCATTGCATGACATGGCTCGCCGCCACTCCACACACGCCCAGACCCTAAGCCTGGGTAAGAGGATTATGGGAGAAGGAGGAGTCAGAGGAGGAGTGGGAGGAGGGTGGTGAGGAGGAGTGGGAGGAGGGTGGTGAGGAGGAGTGGGAGGAGGAGTGGGAGGAGGGTGGTGAGGAGGAGTGGGAGGAGGGTGGTGAGGAGGAGAAAAGCGGAAGCAGAAGCTAGCAAGCAGAGATAGGGAGGGGAGGACAAATGTACCCATATGTTAATATAATATACACCGTAGTGCTAGTGCTTAATTTGTTGTTGTTTGGTAAGTGTTTTACGGCGCTCGCAACTGCATACGGTCATATGAGCGCACAGGACACATTTAACATTTTCAGCCTACTCTTATCAATTTTAGACCACCTAGGGATCTTTAACTTGCGCAACTTCCACACCGGACCTCCAAGATTTTTCGCCCTTGTACATGAAGGCTGGGTGTAGATCTTTCCTACCAGAAGATCAGGGGTGTGGCTGAAAGACAGCAGTAATAAAGAGCCCTGGAGTAGCAGTAGAGAGGCTGCAGAAAGAGTCAGTAGCCCAGAAAAGGAGTCAAAGGAGGTGACGGGGTGGGGGCAGAAAGTGAAGACGAAAGTCGACGACAGAACATGACTGCTAGAGCAGGAAAGGAGGTGAAAGGAGACCACTTTAGAGGAGAAAGTTTTTCCATTGCTACCCAGATTCGAACCTGGTGCTTAGTTTTTATACTACGCATGCATGTGTGGATAGAACAGGGATAGAGAGTGTGTGTGTGTGCAATTGATGTATGCGAGAGAATGAATAGTGTGCATCTGTCTATGTGTGTGTGTTAATCATTTCTTCTGTCTGTGTATATACATGAATTTTTCATTTATTGTCCTTTGTAATTAGATGTACATAAACCGCCTACAGCTGTTTGAAACCAGGAGTTAGCATTATAAAAATGATCGACATTATTATTATTATCCTTACTTCTGGCTCTAGTCAGAGTTTTATAGCATTTACAGAACAATTTAGTCATATAAATCAAAGATTAAAGGTGTCACAAGAGAGTAACAAACACAAAAATGAAGGAGAGATAAAGACGAGCAAGAAGCAAACCACACCAGAGCATCCCCTAACCACCCACTCACAACAGTGCGCAATGTTGAGCAGTTGTAATTTACTTGACACACATATATATATATAATACCAGTCTTTTGACAAGAAAAGCTACTTTACTTTCTTTTTTTTTTTATTTTAAAAAAAAAACAAGTTCAAAGAATTGTTTTTCATTTGAAATATCTTGCACGCATTTTTTAAATTCCACGAATTGATTTTTTTTCAAAATATGAGCACAAGACTCATGACCATCCCCTTGAACGCCCCCCTTATATGTTGTTCATAAAAAGCTTGTGGTGTCTGGGGAAATTATGTGATTTTTATCATATTAAGTTGGAAAACGCTTGAGAACAAGCAAAGTGAAGGCCATGATAAACTATACTATGACATATAACCTTATACATCTTCTTAAAGTAGAAGATAATGGCCAGGAAATACAGCCTATTAGTGAAGAAGTTATCTCTTGGCAGTATTAAAAATGGGATACATGAACCGAAATAGCAACTCAAATTATGGCTCATTAATTCGGATGCACATCTCAAAGCGAAACTCGAGGCCAATTTCAAAGTCATGCCATCGACACTTGAAGAGTTAAGTTTTACAGCGTGCATCTTTTTCCGGAAGGAACCCCGTAGCAAATATAGGAGGACAAGAGGGTTTTAATCAGATCACAAAAATGGGTGGAGTTGGCCATAAGAGCCAGCGTGACTGGTGAGATATCAATAAAGATTATATGATGACTTTCACTATCATGAAAACCCCTAAGGGGGTG